TGCTCTTCGTCCTTATGTTGCAAAGGATGTTACTGTTTGAGTGAATCCGGCGTTCAAAAAATTCATATCTAGAGAAAAGGTTAATGATTTGAAGATTTCCTTATTTTGATGAAATTTACCACGAACAAAACATTTTGACAATTACAAATCAACAATGGAGGTGAAACGTTTTGTTATCTAGAACTGTAATACGTTGATTAAGGGGATTTAGTATGTTCAAAACCCATTGAACGACAGGTGTACATTGCTAATACACTGCTGATACCACCTTTGCGAATATTAAGAATATCGCCTTGATTATTCAGGGGGAAAAAACTTTAATAATAAACTGATCTCACCCCGCTATCACCATTTTATGTTGGAGATTGTCACTTCTTTGTTCAGCCACTAGACTGTTGTTTGATCCTAATCAGAGCTCATTTCTTATGAAGTGTCAATAGGAGTCCTTTTTGTTATTTTCATCAAGTCGTTTTAATAGCGTTGTTAGAAAAAAATAATGAATAATTATCATTTCGTTCCACACACAACGGCTTAAACTTATAAACCGTATAGAAAATTTTAGTATTCCTTGTATAAATAAAGTATTTGCTTAAGAGGAGTTGTAGTTGTTCTGTCAGAGATTTTCCCAAAACGTCGGCGTTAAAGTAAACTAAGGAAGTGCTCGACTTAGTCCGATGTATTTAATTAAAGCAAAGAAAATAAATGAGGACGGTTCTGTATCTTTAGGCCTTTCAACCTATCATCAAATTAAATATAAGGCCCATTTCGTATCGTTCAAAGAGAAATTAAAAAAATTTGATTACTCTTGAAATATTTGCTTGTTCTCTGCTGACATATCCGCAGACCTGATTAATTATACAAGTCTCTTTTATCACACTATTTTTCTGTATTTACTCTTTTTAAGTCAATCTCACGTATATGACATTAATTCTCACACATTCATTTGACTACGTCTTCCGCATTTGGTAGAATATTGCCATATTCTATGACAAAAATGCTCCTTTCCACAGAGGAAGGACTTGTTTTCGCGACAATTCTTTCGTTTATTTTTATCTTTGGTTTTCTGGGGAATATTTTGGTGTGTTTGGCGATTTATTTCGACAAAGACCTCCGTCAACATCAATCGAACTTTTTCCTTTTTAACCTGGCGGTCACTGATCTGTTAACAGGAACCTTTGTGATTCCATTTTGTATCGCGGCACTTATCCATGGAGACTGGATGTTTGGTGATATCTGGTGTCAAACAACGGCTTTCGTCTACTATAGTTTGGCAATTGTTGGAGTTGAAACGTTGGCTTTTATAAGCTGGGACCGTTATTACGCAATTTTTCGCCCTCTTAAGTACAGATCGAACGTGACGCTGAAAAGAGTTTGCACGGCAATAATGTTATGTTGGGTGTGGGCAATGGTATTCACAATACCTTGTGCGGTGTTGGGTTGGTTCCGATATGGTGAATACGAATCGATGTGTACTTACAATTTCAGTGGAACGGGCGATAAATGGAAAACCCGGGTGATAACCTACAGTATTTTCACAATCGTGCTGTGTGTTCTGCTTCCATCAACTGTTATCATATACTGCTACTTGAGGATAATCGCAGTTGTGCGACAGCAAGGCAGGAGAATAAATGCGATGTCTTCGAGAGACGCATATAGCTCAAACTCTGCGGGGCGTCACGCTTGGAGAAATTACAGATTAAAAGGATTTCGAACGATAACCTTAGTAATTATTTTATATATTCTTTCATGGACGCCTTTCAGTGTTGCCCGCCTTTTAAAAACGGTAACGTGGAACCACAAAATCGTCCCACCGGCAGCCGACACGTTCGCAAGCGTTATGTCGTTGTTTAGCACGGCAACTAACCCAATAGCCTACAGCCTGTTCCGAAGAGACTTCAGGCGAGCTTTTAAGAGACTCTTTCGTCGAGCTTTTTGTAAAAAGCAAGAAAACTAATGTCCCCTCTGTTAAAAACATTGCAAGTGTACGTGTAAAACAGGCGCGGATCCACACCGGTTTCCACCGTTTTATGAAAATCAGCAGATTTTTCAGAAAAAAATCTATTTGTAAATAGATCTAATTATAAAAAAATATATATAATAAATAAATCTAATGATAAAACTTTTCAAGTTAAAATCTGGCCAATATCATGTCTGAATGACTCAGAAACCTATAGAAAAGCATGCCCCTGCCCCCCCCCCCCCCCAAAAAAAAAAAAAAA